GCAACTAAGAGATAAAATCAACTATTTTTTTTTTATGTATAGATTCCACTGCTAATAGCGTAATGTCAATTAACAGACAGCTTTTAAATTTATGCTTGTTGAACGAATGAGTAAGAGATATATTGTTGTTTTTAATGCCTTTTTCTATAACAAAATGTTGGATCAGAGTTTATGTTACGCAAAAAGTTAAGTACAACAATTATATTGTAAATATGTTCAAGTAGGTCTTTGGATAAATATTATATCATAAACATAACTTAAAAAAGGTTTTCGAAATGTCATGAGAAATTTAAAGATAGATAATGCCAAATTCAGTCGTCCTAACACGTCTAGTCATAACGAAAACGTGGAGAAAATTTGGTGGAGAACATTTTGGTTTGCTTATGAAAGCATTAAAGAAGTTGCTTTGGATATAGAAAAGTTATATAACTCATGTGAAACGATTTTGATGAGTAAACTGGTAACAACAAAATTTGTTACAAAAATTTGTTGCTTACCTTACAGATCTCTTTATCCCAAATTCCAAGACACTCAAAGCATAATGTTTTTTAACAAAAAATGTGACAAAAATAACTTCGTAGAGCAACTGAAGAACAAGTCCATAAAGGCATTTAACAGGGTTTCTTAACCTGGAAACGAAAATGGTATAAGTGCATAATATCAATAGATAAACACAATATCAATTTTTTGATCATATCCCTAAAGGTTGTGCTTATATCAACTTTAAACGAAATATTTAATATAATAAATTGTTTTATTAATACTTTCTAAAAATTTTGTTGAAAGATATTCTTATTTTACACCTCCGGGAAGAAATTTCTTAAATATTTTACGGTCTCAAAAATTTTAATAAATTTTAATTTTATTTATTTAGGCATATATGACAAAATTTATGCTTCTGTTAGAAACAATACAATGTCAGCATTTCCTTATGTTAACATTGAATTTATCTAAACCCTAACTTAACTTCAGAATAGCAAAAATTGTTTATTTACAAAACAAAACTTGCATTAGCTTAAATATTTACTGAATGCCCTTTTTGCCAATTTATTACACTTTAAATGCAAAAAGACTATTAAAACTTAGAGGTTAAGATATATTATGACAAAAATGTATATACATAGATAGAATTATGGCGCTGAAACAGGGGAGAAGGAAACCATATTTTTTCCAATAGAAGTGAAACTATACCAAATTGAAAACAAAAATTTGTAAAATTTTAGGGGGGAAAAAATAGTGATAAATGAGCATAAATGTCATTTCAATGCAGAGTTTTTAGCAGTCATAAGACTTTCATAAATAACAAAAAGGGGAAATGTTAAAAAAGAAAATATTATAAAAGAAATTTTTAGCAAATAACTTTCTTGTTTCCTCAAACTAACAATTTTTTAGTTAGTAGCAAAGAAAGAAAACAAAGCTGGGACACTAAAGCTGGGAACTGGAAAAAGTTTTCAAGTTTCATGTGCGCAAATTTAGTGGCGGCATGCCATGCATAAATCAACGCCTACACACATTCCTTCTAAATTTTTCCAAATCAAGGATACTTTTCCCATATAAAAAATGAAAATAGTATAAATTCTTATTTGTTTCAATTTTATTTTAGCTATATAGCTTCTTGCACATTTCAGTAACTTTTTTAGTTATAATAAAATTATATTAAGAATGAAAATTTTAGTTCAGACTTATTGCCAAAAAGTAAGTGCACTCATGCCAAGAATTGCAATTCCTAAACCCTTGAGAAGCGACATTTACTGAAGTAGCTACTTTGATATCCTCGTATACAACATAAATTAACTTTCGACTTTTGTCAGGTAAGTAAGAACCACCTGACCTGACCCCCCTCCTCTCCCTCCCTTTCCTTTGAAATGTAAAAGTTTTGAGTAGATACGAAGTGTAACCAAGTGCAATTACCTTTCTTTAATTTAATGCTTATTGTTAGTGTTCGTAATTTAAATATCATTTAATTTTTTTATTTTTATATAAAGACAGGAATTTCTTTAATGAAAATTAAAAGCTATTTGCATGTTTAAAATGCCATAAAGAAATTTTTGTTAAATATTTCAATCAAAACCACAATTTAAATATTTTTAATGAAGTTCCACCGTCGCACGAAACTTCTATGTGTTGTTTTAATGTTTATGGTGTTCACCTGAATTAAGAGTTATTAACGACACCGATATATATATATATATATACACATTTCGAAACTTTATTTAGCTTATAAAGAATTTTAAATATTCACACATAATGAAGTGAACGCTAAATTATTTAAAATTGCATGCTTAACAAAATTTGTTTGGTAATAAAATTTCAAACAAAATGCATAAATTTAATCCTTTCGTGATGAAAATAATAAATTAAAATATCGCCACAAAAATGAAAACTTTAATAAAATTTTATGATTTTTTTTTTGCCGGCCCAGCTAAATTTATAATTACTTTTATATACGACAAAGACCAAGAAAAACTTCAAAACTTCGGAATTTTAAAACTTTTAAGCTCCTTAAGAAGCTATTATATTTAAAGACTTAAGATTTACCTATTATAATTTAAAATCTTTAAAAATAAATAATAAAAACAATTGTCAACATCATTTAATTAAATAATTTATTCATTGAAAATGCCACACGAAGTATGAATTGCGCTATTAAAAAGAACCCGTATTAAGAACAGAAGAAAATATACTTATTAAGATAAATAAAAGCCAAAGTGCCAGCTAACGCCACAAAAACAAACGAATATTATCAAATTATTAATTAAAAAGTAACAAGGGCTAGAAAAGGACAAATAAAATATATAAAATAAAAAATAAAAAAATAATAATTAACAGAAAATGAAAACAAAAATTTTAAATAAAAATAATAAAAACAAACAAAAATAATAAAATAAAAAACAAAAATAAAATAAAAAATAAAAAACAAAAATAAAATAAAAAATAAAAAACAAAAATAAAATAAAAAATAAAAAACAAAAATAAAATAAAAAAGAAAAATAAAATAAAATAAAAAACAAAAATCAAAAAAAAAATAAAAAAAAAAAATTAAAAAATATATAAAAAATAAGAAAAATATAAAACAAATAAAACTGTTCAAATAAATGACATTAAATCAAATAAAAATGGATTATTAAAAAATATATATAATACAAAAAAGTTAATAAAAAAATAGTTAATAAAAATAGATAATGAAAAATAGATAATAAAAAAAATCATGAAAAATAGATAATAAAAAAATTCATAAAAAATATAAATAAATAGATAAATCATCTCTGTGTGTAATTATTTTCTTATTTATATTCTTTAAATCCATACAATTTTTTAATTGTTAAAATTAAACTTAAATAAAACTTTTATCAAAAATGTTTAAATTAATTGTTAAAATTAAGCTAAAATATATATTTTATAAATAAATTTTAAATTAAGACATATGCTTATGCCGGCGATAATTTGGGATTTACCTATGGGCCCATTAGTTAAAAAAATGAATAACTTAATACCATAAATATATTAAAAAAAAAAAAATATAGCTACAATGGTGTTTGTAGACCAAGTACTGTTTATGGCTTAGAAAGAGGTACTTTCTTCTTAATATTTCAGAAAAAAGAGAAGAAACATAAAATGTCCTACTGATAAAATTTATTAGACAGGGACTCTTAAACTAATAAAATGCTATTCTGCTAATAAAATATAAATCGAACTCGAATATTGTATACGCTATTTCGAATATAGAATCTTTATAAAATTTGATCTCTCCAAGATATCAAACATACATTTAAATGAATAATAAACAAATTAATATATATTGGTATATTTAAAGTTGTACTTCTCTCTATACTATTTATTGTATTATTTATAAAAATTACATCTTCATAAAATTCTATCTTTTCAATATAAATATAAATTCAATATAAATTTTAAAAAAAAATTTAAGCAATATGTAATATATTTCACTAATATCCAAGTTTTTTTTAATCTCTTGAATATATTAAAATTTTATTTTAATGAAGTACAAAGAGATTAGTAATATAGTTTATTGCTTAGTAAAAAAAATGGAATGAAATACTTAAATGGAATTTTAAGTAGATTAATAAAATTTTTTGCTAATAGCATAGTATGTTGATGCTCTTTAATTAGATAATTGGTTAATTTTAATCCTTGTAAATCTTTCTGATAAACCTCTTACACAAATATACTATAAATTTATTTAAATGGCTACGGATACTTTTTAATTAGATTACTGGTTAATTTAATTAATATTATATATAAAAAAATATATTTTCGAAAGCATTTTCAACATTACAATATTCATATATATTATTTCAGAAAAATAACAGTGTAGTAATCCTTGAGAAATTTTACTGATAAACCTCCTAAATAAATATACTTTAAATTTATTTAATTGGTTGCTGGTGCTTTTTAATTAGATTATTGGTTAATTTAATTAATAATAATTATTAAAAAAAATACATTTTTAAAAGCTTTTTCAACATAATTACAATCTTGAAACAAATTCGCTCCCATATATTGTACTTTACAAACATGACAGTGTAATCCTTGAGAAATCTTATTGATATATCTCATAAACGATTATACTATAATTTTATTTAAATGGTTGCTAATGCTTTTTAATTTTTTTTTAACCAATAATGGGTTAATTTAATTAATAACAATTATAAAAAATACATTTTTGGTAGCATTTTCAACATAATTACAATCACTAAACACATTGAATCCTATATATAGTACTTCATAAACATGGCAGTGTAATCCTTGAGAAATCTTACTGGTAAACCCCGGAAATGTATATACTATAAATTCATTTAAATGGTTGCTGATAGTTATTAATTAGATTATTGGTTAATTTAAATAATTATGTGTATAAAAAAATACATTTTCGAAAATATTTTTAACATTATTACAATCTTCAAACACATTCGATCCCATTTATTGTACTTTACAAACATGACATTGTAATCCTTCGACAAAATTCTTCGATTACTCACTCGCATCATGTATCGACGTCTGAAAATCGGCTTACGATTATCGAAAGACCAAAAACGATTTGCATATACATTTTTCCGGTGATTATAATAATAATCGGAAAACATTTTCATTTTCATATTTAACGTATATGATTTATGCACAGAAATTAATTTAACACACTCGTCGTTGATTAACAAATTCAGGAAGCAAAATTATTAAGTGCTTGGCAGAAAATCAATTAAATTCTTCCACAATCGCGCGCCAAGCATAGAAGAATTATTAAAAACGACAATTACCAAGGCACCACCGAATCAAACTAAATTAAAAATCAACATCAGAAAAGTTGCGTAGCAAATTAAACAAAAACGAAAATATCTGAAATACTAAAATATATGAGCAAATAAATTAAAAGGAAAGTAAAATTACACTAATTACATATACAATTAAAGTCTTAAATATTAAAAAAAAAAAAAAAAAATTTTAAAAAAAAACACCAAATAAATATTTCAAACAAACAAAAAGCAAAACTGGCAACATTCAGACTTTTGACAAAAGTACAAATTTATTTTGGATAAAAATGTACAACAAATTTATAATTAATTAAATGACAAAAACAAAAACAAAAAAAGAAACAAAAACAAATTAAAATGAATAAATGAATGAGTGAAAAATTATGCCCAGGAAAATGTTTGCAGCCACAGCGACAGCACGAAATGAAGTTTATGGCAATTAAAAGTGGCAAATGCAATGAGAGAAGAAAAGCCAAAATTAATTTGTACATTTTTCATAAAAATTCAATTTAAATATTTATAAATATTGCCATAATTTATTTCATGAAAAAAATAGATAAAAGATAAAATATGCTCCTGCTGCTGCTGTGCTGCTGAGCTGCTGCTGGCTGACCAATTTCACTCAGACGTCAGGTATTTTATGTTCTCACATCGTTCTGACTTCATCCAATGCAGCAGCAACCAACCAATTACAACAACACTTCAGTTACTGTTAGTAAGTGTCATAGGAAATTGTTGAGGAAAAAAAAAAACAAAATAAACGAAATGCATATGTTGCACTTCACAAATGACAGTTGCAGATACACATCCACACAAAAAGTACAAGAACGCGAACACGGAAAGATGTGCACAAAAACGATTGGTAATTCATTTTTTGTTTAACCATTTTTTTTTTTTGTCTATAAAATATTACAGTCAATATAAATTGCAGCAACATTTTTTAAATAAACCTTAACAGTTTATTGCACGCCAAAGTGCAGCACATTTTTCGGCATGTCACTTTCTGAAGACTGCAACAGTTGCTGCAACAATTTTTAAATAAAAGCAAAATCGAATGTCTACATTTGTGTTGCACGGCAACGAATAGTGTGTATTGGCACAACATATCAGACGATATAGCAAAAGGGATCTGGTTGCAGACATTTCGTAAAATTAAGTTGATATTGTTGATATCTGATTTTTGATGAAAGATCAGTTTTGAACATTTAAAAATTTATACAATAAAATTTTTTTTTAATATAAAATATAAATTTAAAAGTACTAAGAAATTAGTATGCTCTTTCATATACAATATACTTTTTTGAAAAGAGATTTTTCAAAATACGTGTAACACAGAGAAGCCGGCATTGATGATCATACAGTAGTTAACTATTCTAATTAAAAATATCGAAAATTAAGTTAAGCAAATGCACAGCTATAGTCAGTGAAGGTCGTACTAAAGTACTACACACGATTAAACTACAGTTGATGGATACTGTCTGTATACTATACAATTGCACTACACTGTATTCCACTACACTGAGAGTCGTCAACTACTGTAGCGAGAGAGTATAGTTTAATCATATAATGGGTATTATCCTGGCAACTAACATTAATTAAACTGTGTCTATTTGTAATTTCGTCTATCTGCATGCTGATATCTAACTAGAACATTTAGATGTTGATAATTTAGATATTAACTAACAGAACTGATCAATTTAAGCGAAAGGACTGAGGCGAATACCATACGAGCTCTACTTTATTTGACAATAACTTAGGTTTTTTTAGGCCCTATGCTCCACTAGGACAGAAAGATAGCAGTAAGTCAGTAGTTTTTGGGTTTTAGTAGAGATAAAATCTAAGTTTCAAAACCAACGTCATACTTGGCATACTAATATCGGTAAGCAATTTCGTCAAGTTTTTACCATTCACAAACAGTGCAATCTTATCTGAAGAAAATTAGTTACTTATTTATTTTTTTGATGGGCAAGTCTTTAATGTATTAGTAATTAAAAGCCCTTAATATTAGGAATTTTTTATAAACTACTACATTTTATTTATACATTTCATAAACTTCTTAAAAATGAATCAGAGTTTGAATTGATCTCTATAATTCTATATATTTCTTTGCTGATGTACCTTTGACTTACTATAAACTTATCACATTACTGTCAAGTATTTGAAATAAGTGTCTTATATACTTTTGAGATATATATTACCATATATAATATATATAATTTTATCTTATATCTTTATATAAAATATATATATATTTTGTCTTATTTATAAGATGTATATAATCTTGTCTAACATATATAATGTACATAATCTTGTCTAACATGAATAATGTATATAATGCTGTTTAACATTTATAATGCATACAATCTTGTCTAACATATTTAATGTAAATAATCTTGTCAAACTTATATAATGTTTATAATCTTGTCTAACATACATAATGTATATAATGTTGTCTAATATATATAATGTATATAATCTTTTCTAACATATATAACGTACATAATCTTGTCTAACATTATCTATATGTATATAATCTTGTCTAACATATATAGTGTATATAATCTTGTCTAATATATATAATGTTTATAATCTTGTCTAACATATATAATGTATATAATCCTGTCGAACACATATAATGTATATAATTCTGTCTAACATATATAATGTGTATAATCCTGTTTAACATATATAAAGTATAAAATCTTGTCCAACATATATAACGTATATAATCTTGTCTTACATATATAATGTATATAATCTTGTTTAACATATGTAATGTATACAATCTTATCTGACATATATAATGTATATAATCTTGTCTAACATATATAATGTATATAATCTTGTCTAACATATATAGTGTATATAATCTTGTCTAACATATATAATGTATATAATCTTGTCTAACATATATAATGTATATAATCATGTTTAACATATGTAATGTATACAATCTTATCTGACATATATAATATACATAATCTTGTCTAACATATATAATGTATATATATAGATATAACGTATATAATTATATATTTTTGAAACGATTTTTATAAATTAATCATACATGTTACTGACAAATATGTGGAATTGGTGTCATTCGTTTTTAAGTAGTTAACTAGACTGCAGAAAAGAGAAGTGATTAATTTTTTAAATAAAATTGCAACTGTTATCACTTCGCATAGCAACTTAAAATAAACAATTACTTTTAATATTTACCTATTCAAAGAAGTTATTTAAAGTTATTTCCGTGTAACTAATAAATAAGCTGTCAAGACCTTTTCAATACAGACTCATACTCCACAGACAACACGTGACAGGATTCGCACAGTTTTGCCATTAAAAGTAGAATCATTTTAAGGAAAAATATTTTATATTTCAAAAATATTACAAAAAACTTCATTTGCAGCTGTAAAACTGCATATAAAGAACAGTTATATCTTTTTGGAATATATGTTAGCAAGTGTCCAAAAAAAAAAAGATATAAAGCCACTTTTATGCTCGTTGATAATTTGATTATTTATAACGAAAAGAAGAAATTTGTTTGCGTGTTGAAAATATTTCAAAAAAAAAATAATAAAAAAAAAATAAAAAAAAAATAAAAAATTAAGAAAAATTATAAGAAAATAAAATTGAAAAGTCAAAGCTGGAAAACTACACTTCTGACACATAAAGTCATTTTTATATCTTTCAGTGCATTTCGCTCAAAATGAAATTTAATAAAATTTTTTACCTCATTGCACAAACATAACGATAAATGCAGCGTAAAAATATACTTTCGCAAAGGAAGCAAACATAACAGTTAAAAAAAAAAATAAACAAAAAAAATTATAATAAAAGGAGTAAATTTCATTATATCCTTTTTTAAGAGTATTTGAGTAATTTTTAATATTTTGCAAATTTTATGTTTGTTGAGTAAAAATGGGTGACACCCTCTATTTTTTGGTGAAAATGTGTTACAAATGCGGCACATTTGACATCTGCAACATATAGTGACAGCAACAAGAGCAGTTACTACTAGTAGCTAACGCCAGCAGCCAGCAACAGCAGCAAATTCAGTGAAGAAATGGCATTGGCAAGTCACCACACACCCACACAGTATCCATCCAACACGAACCTTTAACATTTGGGATATTATTTAAAAACATAAAGAACAAGCCAGGAGAATGGATTTTTCTGGCTTAGGGAGTTAAAAATGGCTTCGTTATGTGTTGGTTTTTTTCTTGTTAGTTTAGTGAATTTATTGCAAATAACTTGACTCCTCTATAAACTACGTTAGTTGTAGTTGCTGCACGTATGTGTCGACGCTGATAAAATGTGTCGTTTTATCTTTCTGGGAGAAAAATTTTTTTGAAATATGGTTTATAAATTTCTTGTTTTAAACACTTTGGTATGTTAAACGGGTTTATGTATGAACTGCACTTATAAAAATTTTAACAACTGCATTTGCACTTCTTCACACTTCACACTGTTTACCCAACATGACGTATGAGTAACTTTTAAGCCACAAATTATTTTTGGGTAAATTTAACTCGAAAGAATTTTATGCCACAATATAAAATGTTAAGATACAGAACAACAATTATTTCTATAAATATAGTTTAAAAACTTTTAAGACAGTAGTTGAATGAATATAAGTGCACAACGCTAAAGTCATAATAATAAAAATAAAATAATAAAATTTATGTAATAAAATTAAGATAATAAAAATAAAATAATAAAATTGAGATAATAATATTTAGATAATAAAACTATGGCAAATAGTAATACAAAAATTATTTTATTAAAAGAAATATTTTATGATGTTAAATTTTTAATATTACAATAATTATTTTAAGATGACATTACTGCGATACTAAAATAAAATCAAATATTTTTATTATAATTAAAATAATAAAAAAATAATAAAAAAATAATAAAAAAATAATAAAAAAATAACAAAAATTAAAAATAGTTTTAAAAAAATAATAAGAAGTATAATAAAAAA